GTGTGGATCCATACTCATACCTGCATACCTTACTCTTCTCCATCTTATGACAGTTACATCCAGAGAACTTGGAGGTGCAGTGGGCCACACTCAGTGTTTCTGCAGGTATGTCTATTGGATGAGGGCAAAACAGAGTTCATCATCTTCATGTGTATTAAGACCAATTTAATTGGAATGTGAGATTACCACTTCAGTGAAAATACGTATTAGATCTATCAGAAGCACAGAGGAGGAAGCTCCTGCCGTTGCAGCAGGCCTAAGGACATCGCTGGAGAGACTCCGTGAACCAGAACTATGTCTGAGCTAATGTCAATTCCTTGGGAAAGTTTCTGAAGGAGAAGACAAGGGTGGCACAGTGAAGTCACAGAGTGCTTCATATTTTCATGGTCAGCAGTTCTGCTGGTTTTTCTGAGAATAAGGGTGGTCTCCCATGCTGGCAAATTGGACACCTAGGCTGTTTCCCATCCTGAAGAGGTAGATATTGGCTGCTTCTCTGTGTCTGTCCACACATCATACATCAGAAATGATTCAGGGATTCATTACCAGGGCCAAACAAAAAACATTGCCTTTTATTCTCAATTAATTAAACAGACAGGAACATATCAATTTCTGGCTGCTGAAGTCTTACAGTCCTGTGAAAATGACTCAGGATTACATCTGGATCTCTCTCTGCCTCAGCAAAACTTCAGGGAAGCCCCTTATAGGGCTAGTCACACACCAATGCCTGGACTTAGGGACAACCAGTGAACAGGCAACAAAGAACCAAGAAAGGGCAATTATCCTGGGTTAATCTGGCTGTGCCAGTAGGACTGAGTCCTATCTGAGACCCAAGACTTGTTACGCACTGTGCTGCAGCATCTCCCGCTTATTCCCCAGTTCCCTCAAGACTGGTACCCCTGACACCCAACCTAGGCCAGCCCAGATCCAGGGGAACAACCCTTACCAGGTCTACAAGGTGCTAAACTGTTAAACTAATGAATAAATAAAAATTATTCTGCTACTCTGCCTGAGCATCAGATGAGTGGCAAAGCTTCAGGCATAAGAAATAAGCCTCAAGCAGAAGAAAAAAGAGTTAAACAAACAGACTTTTGACAGAGTAATTATCCCATACTTTAGCAGCAGTCAGAAAGCCAACCACCCACCTAAGAAGAGCAGCAGCCATCCTGACTGCGCCCTTCATTGGCCGTGGGTGGCAAACGTCTCGAACCATGGCCATGGGCAACCTCCTGCTCTGCTTGGGCTGGGAGGAGAACCTGCCTGCCTGTGCAACAAGAAACATGGGTAAAAATAAAACTATGCATGACCAGTGAGATTGGCCTGGAGTGGGATTTTGCTCTAAAATTCAAACCAGTGTGCCAAAGCCCACTCCTGTTAGTGACAAAGGAAAAGGAGTTATTGAATGACAGAAGTAACCAAGCGTTGGAAGAACAGTTTAGCTCCTGCAGAATGAAATCACTGAAGGAATTTGCAATGCTTCCCAGTCTAGTTACTGAATTACTAAGCCAGTTTCTCCAACTACTTTCAAAGCAAAATTATAATTAACCGTAGGATCTGGTATTATGAGTACTCAAGAATGAGCTTTTACAGAATAGAAGCTAAAAGATTTACAGATCTGTTTCACATCTGTGATGCAGACTGAATCAGCTCCTTCTTGTTCCCTGTTTCAAAGCATGCTCATAGCATCTGACGTGTGCTAAAAGAAGGTCCAAAGAGCTAAAAGTTCTAAGTGTCTCTTAAAGTTCCACAGAGGCTGAATCAACTGTATTTTATCAAGAACTCCCTTCTCTTCACTTTTATGGAGTTATTATTCATGTAATCTTTTCGAGTATTAAAAAGAAGGACTGCAGAAGTCAAAGTATTTAAAAGCCTGATTTTCACCTCTGGAAAAATCAGGCACAAAATGTTAAAATTCAAAGAGAAGCTTTATGTCTAGAGAAATCTATGGTGTGTCTGATTTTGAAGCCTTTGTACATTCATATTCCTAAGGATGCTGGAGGGAAAGAACATACCCTGTCTTCTAAGGTCTCTCCCATCAACTTCTCACTGCCTCCTCCTCGTCTTACTGTTTCTCTTGAGGCTTTATTCCTTCTTCTGTACTAGGATACATAGTGTGGTGGCCACACTGAGCTATCCTAAATACTCATACACAAGTTATCTCCTTTCTTTCTCTCCTAAAGCTGCCCACGCAACTTACAGGGACCAATTCTCCCTTCATCTGGGCCTTGGTCCCACCAGCACAAAACCTCTCTGCTCCTCCCGCAAGCGGGACCACAGGCTGCAGGAGGCAACACTGCTTCCCTGAGTTATTTGCATCAAGCCAAGTCATGCACAGAAGTGATCTCCTTCACTCATTTGGCTCTTCATTCTGTGGGGGGAAGGAAGATCAGCTCTGGGTTTTGGAGGTGTCTGGCAGTTTTGCAGTGGACTCCAACCTGATCACTGACTCCTGTATAAACGTTGGTGTGAAAAAGAAAGGCTTCTCCAACTGCATTTTGGAAGGACACAGGGAAACGGAGAGGAGAATGGAAAACAGTTTTATTTCTGTTGGAGGTACTCTCTGGTACAAGCTAGCAGCAGGGCTGTAAAATGTGTAACAACACTTCAAAGCAACCAGGGTAACCTTATTCATAGTGATTTATGCATGTGCAATCACTGCACTAAACCACCCGTACCTCCACCTGGTCCCTGCAGCACGTGGGTTCTCACGTGAAAAGGGGATGGACACCCCTGACCCCACGGATTATTTGTCAGGCCGGAAAGAACTGTAACCTAAGCCCATCACCATCCCAGTCCAACATAAACTCAGGAGCAGTGTTGAAAGACAAATCAAAAGCACCGCTTGGACAACTCCCTCCATGCCTTCCTGTCCCACACACTGTTGCAGCACACGCAGACAGAGATCCCCCTCCTCTAGCATCATGCCCTGCCCAGAGTTCAGGGCCTGCCTGGCTGCTCTGGCTCTCCCTGGGAGGCCTCAGCTCAGTCTCTCTCCACACTTTCCCGGGGTTCAGATCTAGGGCAGGAGCAGCAGAGCCGATGCATAGAACCTGTTTTGAGATTGGAAGCTCTGCTCATCACTGCAGCTAGATGTTTCATCAAGCTGTTTATTTAGCTAACGTTATCACGACTTGAGGCACTGCTAGTGTTGCATGCAAGGCTCTGGAGCCAGCAAAGAGATGAATCCCTTTCTTTAACCCATGTGTTACACACAGACCACACCTTTGCCCCATTTCTCCCCAGTGAATTCTCCGAAGGCAAAGTTCCCTCAGCACACGTAACCATGAGGCCTGGTCCCACCACCTACTACACAGTCAGCAGACCTCCTCATGTCCTAGGCCACACTTCAGGCACAGCCTTGCTCAGCATCAGACACTTTACTTCAGCAGGCATTGCTGTGCTGTCTCGGGGCAGCCAAAGCCTTCAGGGCACTGCAAAAGGAGTTCCTCCTTCCTAAACAACTCCAGTACCTCCCTCAGGAGCAAGGCGCTCACCTCATGGGCAGCACAGCCAGCTCATCCACGCGCTGTTCCCAGTCACTGCCTCCTTCCCCATCTTGTCAGGAGTTTGTGGGGGCACAAACACAGCAGTGTGCCTGGGGCTCCCTCACACCTCAAGGACCCTCGTGACTCCAGTGAAAGATTTGGCCAACCCAGAGCAGCACCCTCAGCTCTAATTTCTGCTGAGCTTCATACCGCAGCCCCTTATGATTCAGATACCTGAGCTCTGGGCGAAAGCCAGGGGAACTGGTCCCTCTGGCAAAGCCTGTTTCTACCTTCAGTTTCCACAACCCATAGCTAGAGAGAGAAAGCACAGAGACCAACAGCACAAGAAGGACGTGAAGCTGTTGGAAGGGGTCCAGAAGAGGCCACGAGGATGCTCAGAGGGCTCAAGTACCTCCTCTGTGAGGAGAGGCTGGTTCAGCCTAGAGAAAAGAGGAACTTTTTAATAAGAGCACGTAGCGATGGGTAAAAGGGGAATGGTTTAAAACTAAAAGAGGAGAGATTTCGATGTTAGGAGAAAATCCTTTACTCAGAAGGTGATGAGGCACTGGGAACAGGCTGCCCAGAGAAGGTGCAGACAGTGCAGGGCAGGACAGTGTTGCTGGGCCCCACCAGCAGGATGAAGGGACATGGATCAAAAGCAGAAATCAATGGAGAACAGGAGGCAGCACACCCCACCCCACCCTTCCTTCTTCCTTCTGGGCCCAAAGCCCAAACACCTTCCTCTCCCTCCAAGCACAGAATTACTTGTTGGGATGTTTCTCTCCACCAGCGTTTGTATTTTTAGCACTTATCTCAACAATTGCTACACTGTGTTTTTCACCGCTCCACAGCATCCTGTGGATTTTTCCAACAGCTCATAGAGAAGAGCTGCTTTGCGTGGTGAAGCGGTGAGAGCCCATGGGAGGGGCTGTCCTAAAGAGCAAGGCACCAAGGGCCTACAAGACATGGTCTTTCAAAGCTCTCGGCACCATGAGGATGGGAACAGCTGCGCCCACAGAGTGATTTCAAGGCAAGAAGCCCTTAAGTCATTTTTAGCAGAGCACACATCCATGGAGCAGGCTCACATCCACTGAAACAAGGAGGCTTTGCCTCAACACTCCTCCTCCCCACCAGATCCTAATAAAGGATTCAGCCACAAATCCTACACTTCATAATATATGAGCAAAGAATACAGCAGGCAGAAAAACCTGTTCCAGCCCCGGCCCCCCCACCGCACACCCTCACCAGCTGTATTTGCTCTCCATCCTTGGAGATTTCAGGTGTTCAAAGCAGTCACCTACCAGTCTCACTTCAAGAGTGATAAATGAGTTTGCATTTTACTATGGCAGGGTGGATCAGAAAGGTCTGAAAGGAAGGTGACACAAGGCAGCCTCAAATAGGTTAACCCACATGTTTGCAGGGCCCCTCCCAGCCACAACTTATGAATGCCTGGAGGCCAGAGCCCCTTTTCTTCTTCTTTTTTTTTTTTTGTGTGTGTCTGAAAAGATAAGAGGAAAGAGTGGGACAATCAAATCTGGTTTCAGTTTATTTCCAGAATTTTACTGTACAAAATATGCAAAGTGTAAAACGGTTTTATGTTTCAGTTTAAAAACAACAAAAACCCATCCAGCTATAACTGAAGAGAACCCAGCTTGGAACAGAACGACTTACTAGACAAAACCCACAGTGCATTAATGTCACAGACACCAGGAATTTGCTTATTTAAGTCCATGATTAGAAAAGAACTGAAAGACCATGTACCACTGCAGTTAAAGTCACATGTGCAAAAAGGAGGGGGGGAAAAAAAAAAAAAAAAAAAAAAAAGAAATGCTGGTTAGTGTCTGTTAATTAGAAAACCTTGGCAAAACCCACCTTACTATACACAGTATGTGTAGAAAAGGAGTATTACACAGTGATCAAAAAGGGTGCAAGAAGAGAGCTGGCTCCCATCCCCTACCCCAAGACACAATAACGCTGAATCAAAGAAACAGGCACAGAAGAGTGTAAGATCCCTTCACAGCTGGGTCTGTGCGGGCAGCAAGCCGCAGCATCCCCGTGTGCAGACAAGAGATGCTCCCAAGCCCTGTCAGCACTGGTGGAAACTGCCAAGGGAAGTCGCTGTGGGGTAGCAGAGCACACCCACAGCATCATGCACTGCCCATGGGGCTGCACTGCAGCACATGGATCAGCACACGCTGCCTCTTGGAGGGAAACAGACAGGCAGATAAACTGGTGATGGGGGGGGACCCATCTGGAGTAAACTCAATGAGATCCACACCAGCTGTCGGAAACAGCAACTTTTGGTCACCATCTACCTGAGGCAGCAGCCCACGCACATAAGGATGCATGTTCCTAAACGAGACTTCAAGGCTCAAAAAAAGCCCTCTCTTTTAGGAGATCGCTTAAAAAAAAAAAATAAACCAGAACAATCTGATCCCAAGAGTGCTTCCTTCTTCACAATTCAAACACTGAACCACCAAGCTTGGCTCAAGGCTTTAGACAAGTACAATGCATACACCTATAAAGAGAGAAGCACATCCACGCACAAGCTGAATGAGAAAACAGACATCTGTACAAACATCTCAAAACACCTCTTGGACGGCAGGGCAGAGCTGAGCAGAGCCTGGGGCCAGACAGCAGCATTCTTTAATAGACTGCAAGATTTTTCATTTACCTTTTTAAAAAAAGAGAAGATTGAAAAGTTTCTGTGAGCAGATGAAATTGGCCTGAGTAGGTTTCCACATTTTGCATAGTATAGATCTTTCCAGTTTCTTCACTAACGAGCGTTGGAACATGCACATCTCAAACAAGACTTTTACAAGCTACTTCTGCACGGCCAGTTTTAGAAACTGCTTCTCCACAGCTTCTGGCATGCTTAGAAACAGTGGAATCCCTACACTTTGTGTGGAGCATCCCAAAGCAAAAGAAGAAAAGCTCTTTGCGGGTTCCAATTTGTTCAGCTCTCTCCCAGACTTGTGTCCTACCCCAAGCTGTCTCAGGCTCCAAGGCCAGCACCTCACATCCCACCCGGTATTTGCTCCTCCTCAGCAGGAAACTCAATTGAACACAGCCAGTAAGGTGGAGTGACTGGATCTGCTGGCATGAAGACTTCAGAGGTAGCAGAACACCAGAGGAAAAACTGAAATCTGTCTCCAAGATGCTGCTCCAGAGTGGATTTCTCCTGCTGCCTTGAAAGAGCCAAGCACAACCCCAAAGCAGGGTATACTCTGGAGCTGACCTTGCTCTGCCACTCTTCCATGCAGAGTACACCTTCAGCAGATACTCTGCTGCATGCAGGGTGTGTGTTTGCCAAGGTCTACTACCCTGTGCTCTTAGAAGCTGCGAGAAATCCTAACTTTCCACTCTTCGGCCATGAAAGAGAGTCAGCCTTTGTGAAAACCCACAGTCACTTCCATTTTCCTTGAAGCAGCTGAAAGTCTTTGTTGCATCTGGTTTAGGAAGATCTCAGCATGGTTTTGGATTTAGGCTGTAACAAATATGAGTCTTTAAACTGTCTGAGCAGCATACTTGAGAATCACACATGGAAAAGAGGAGTGGGCCAACACAGCACTCTACTGAATGGTGCAGCATAAGGTCCTCCTCTGAGGGGCATGGGCTCAGCCTTCACTACAAACAGGGTTATCTCAAAAACCACTCATTTCTAAAAATCACTTCTCAATTAGATAAGAGCATACAAGCTTGGGTGACAGGAGGGAGATTAACACACAAGGAGATGGTGCAGAATAGGAGGCATTTGGAGAGAAGCAGCCTGTGCTTGGCTGGCAAACTGTACAAGCCTTATTTACGCTCAACTCTTGGCAAGCTTTCCAGGAGTAAGGACTGCAGGATTTGGATTCAGAGCTTTGTTCCCTGTGACTCAATTCTTACTCATTAGCTGGCTAGAAACAGAATTAAACAAACCAGTCTGCTCTCACTGCTTAGGATTTTCACAAAGAGCCTGAGTTCTTACAGACTCCACAGATCCATATGTGGATTTCAAAGCACTTCGTGATGCACTGAGTTTAAGCCCACAACAGCCCACTGAGGTAGGTATGATCGTGGTCCCTTGATTTTGCATGGAGAGGGGAAACAAGCCCCTAAAGAGAGAGCTGGAGAAATAAAAAATCATTAAAAAAACCTGGGAATACCCAGGAGTTCAGATTCCCTTATAGACTGTTCTCAGCTCGGAACAGGTTGCAACTCTGCAGTAAGCAGCCTGTTTGAGAGGTGAAGCTCTCTCCTTCAGATTTTATCAAGCAAAGCATTCACCTCAACACTGGGAAGAGTGCTTAACGCAGGAGCTGACAGCGGAGAAGGTAGCACAGATTAGGAAGCAGATCCAGAGTGAGCATGCCTTGCTTCCACCTGGCTTTCCATGTGCTTAAGGATTCAATGCAACTAAGGATTAAGACATGAGTTTCCTGAGCAGACACTGTCAGACAGGCCAATCGTCGGGGAGAGGAAATCCTGGGAAAGGAAGGTTTTATGGAGCAGTGCCCTAACCAAGGTGCTCCCATGTGTAGGGCACACCCAAGCCCCCGGCACAGCAGTTCTCTCTCTGGCTGCACACATCCAAGCTGGTTCAGCCATAAGCAGAAGTGCTTTGTAGTGCCCATGCTACTCCCAGTCTCTCCCGCCCTGGCTGGTAATGTACATCATAAAAAACAAATACATACACCTTCAGGAGAGATACGTGTGAGATACTGTATGCTCCATCACCTTTTTTGTTTTGTTTTTAAGGAGGGAATAAATCTGTGTTTTTCCAAACTAAAATACTGCAAAGGCCACAGTCAGTAAAAAAATCCCTGTACAGACACAGACTGCAAGGAAGTCTGACCTAGAAACAAACTCAGGCGTTGAGTTTAGACAAGGAAAACTCCACCTACTTCTCATCCTTGAAGAGGCATAGATAGGCTTGGTCTCATCACGCACGTTTTGTTTCTTCACAACCAATTCTGACACATCACACAGAGACCACAGGATGGAGGTGAGTATTACACATTCAGACGAAAGCTGCCAGCAGCGGGAGGCCACACAGACCATGGGTTATACTTGGCTGGGGGAAATCTCCACCTGGGACCCTCCCTCACCAGGGAGCTCAGGTGGCTGGTAGCTCCCTCAAACCCAAGAGGACCAGCTGGTGCTGCTGGACATGTGGCTCCTTCTCAACTACCGCTGCTGGAGCAGGGAAGCAGCCCAGTGGACTGATGATGGAGCCCAAGGAAGGCCTGGAGTAGGCAAAAGAGGCTGTAGGAAGCTATCATGGGCCACCACAGAAGATAAAGCAGTGAATGGCATTGGGTGTACCTCACTAGCAGGGCCCTTTGCAGTAAGAGATCTCCATGGAAGGCAAGTTGGCTCATGCTAGATACAGATCTTCTCATGGCAAAAGACTGGGCAGGATGAATCCAGCATTTCCACTTGAATCTGTCACCACAGATCAGGGCCTCTAGGAGGGGCCCACCTGAAGACGAGTCACCGCCAGGCCCAGAGGTGGCTCTGGAGTCACACAATGCTCATAACTAGCATCCAGACAGGCTCATCTTATGAAGAAACCTTTCAAATTAAGAGCTAAGCACCTCTCACAAGAGCAAAGAAGCAGCAGGCCATCCTGGCACTGAGAACGGAGAGACCCCCACAGCAGAAAAAGGCCAAAAAAGGTAGGCAGGTTTTCAGCATTCAGACCGTTTGGTATTTCCCAGCTTTGTTGAAGGCAGGGAAGGATGCACTGCAGCATTTCAACATCACGGCAGTTCTTCAAAGCAAGAGGGGGGCAGTAGAGCCAGCCCTTTCCTGGCTCCACTCTTCGAGGAGGGAAGCGTTTTTGCTCGTCTGTTTTCCAGACACACTGAACCCCTTGGATATGGAGGGATACATTCCTGCATGCTTTCTTCTTCCCCTCTGCAGGGCTGCAGACGTAGCAGTGTCTGTGATGCATCTGAGAAGGAGCCAGCTACTTACCCACCCTGTGCAAATGTGCAGCCCCCGCAGGTGTGAGAGGAAGAAGGGTAAGGCAGACCCCGAGGGCACTGGGGTAGAGAAACACGTTTGGAAAGCAGACTGGGGAGCTTTGGAGAGCCTGGCAAAGGAGAGGGACAAACACTGAGACAAAAGAGGCAAAAGTGGCATGCAGAACTGTTTCCACTAACAAGCATTGCTAAAAAGAATTTTGGAAGAGCAGCAAGATGGGCTGATCCAGGATGACACAAGCAACTTCACAGAGACAGAAACAGACTGCAAAACCATCCCACTTTGTTCACACAGATCCAGCACTGATAAGAAAACACACAGAAAGTAGGAAAAAAAAAATAAACAGATCTTCAGTCTTACTTATTATGTAGCTGACACAAGGAAACCTCTCACACTCTCTCACTTCCACATGAAAAGAAACTGTAAGTTCTCTCTGTACAAGCAGACTTCTGTAGTGGAGAGGTGAGCAGCCTGTTTTCAGGAGAAACAGGTAGCAAAAGCACACACACAGAGTGTAAGGCAGCATTCCAACAGAAATACAGACATTGCAACTGTGCAGAGAAAGAGAGCGTGAGATTCACAATATGCCTGGAAAGGGGAAAAAAAATTCTGTTCTGTCTCCAAGGCTGAGCTAACCAAGCCAAGTCACCCTGTTGCCTCTTAAGATATTCCTTTCTAGATAAGATATCCCAGCTCCCTCCACCCCTTTCCAAATAAAGTGCAGATGGTCAAATATTACTGGTCCATCATCTGCCAGTTTCAGTCAGCATTGGGGAAATAAAACCCAAAAGCAGAATAGTGAAAAAAAAAAAAAAAAATTCCAAACAACCCATCCTCAAAATCCCTTAGACTGAAGTCTCGGACTGTAAGCGAAGGACAAATTTATGAGATTTAGGGTCTATGAACTCTTCAGAGAGTTTGATGAAGGGAATTTTCTTCACATTAGCAACAAGGCTGAAGTCCAAGCACTTGAGGACAAAAACAATTCCATCTTGCAACCCACTTGTGACTGCTTCCTCGCTAACGAGTGTCCACTGCTTGGAGAACCAGCGATCCCTGTCGTACTGGAGGGTTGGGCCAGGGCTGAGGTAACGCTCCAGGAATGCCTAGTAAGAAAGTGAACACATTAGCACCGGGGAAACAGCAGCCCCATGACTCTGTCTGCTTCCACGCTCTCTTTCTTTCTCTAGATACAGCTCTGTGAGCATTGGCTTGCAATGCAGGAAGTTATTTCAGCTTCTGGGCTTCAGGAGACATCTGTTCCCCCCTCCCTTGCTATCTTAATGGCAGCAGAACCACCCCCTTGCACCTCTGAGGAAGATGCCATGTGGATCCCAGTGAAAGGTCCACCTTTGTTTCTTCACAGCATTTCCACACTCAGCACAGAAAGTCCTGGGTAAATTCCCAAGAGTGAATTATTGCATTTTTGTCCTTGGGTTGTGTTCTCCAGCAAGGTGGTTGTAGGATGCTATTAGGGAGGAAGGAGGACACCGAGGACCACGTGACCCATCTCCCTCATCATTCAGTCCCTCCCTGCATTTGCAGTTCAGCAGTCAGGGTGTGAAGCAACAAAATGACATCTGACCAGGCAGACCACGAGTTAAAAACACTGTCAGACAGGGATTTAGGCTATAAATAGCAGCAGTCCAAAATGCAGCAGCGTGGAAGAGATAAAAAGAAGAAAAATGTCATTTGCAAGTTGCTATCTCCATCAGTCAGCCAGCTGGGAAAACTGCCCGTGACTCAGGGCCACCACCTTGGACACTTCTTTGATACTGACTCCAGTGCTGAACTGGATATCAAAACAAGCAGCTAATTATCTCATGGGTACTTTCAGCTGAAAAGAAAAAGGTGCTTCAGAGGAAACACCACTTCCTGATGCAATCTACAGAGTGCTGACTGCATTACAGAGAGCAGATATAAAAACCTCCACTCGCTTTCCCCAGCAATTCCTTGCCCTGTGCACGCACACGTGCTGTCCCTTTATCCTTCCCACCCTGCACTAGGGTTAAAGAGCACGTTACCTTTGGTGTCATGTTATTTGTGATGCAGAAGGACAAGTGTTGCAGGATGCTCTCCATGCTGTGGTACTGCTGCTGGCGGGTGGTACGAAGGTACTTCTGCAGAGCTCTTGCCATGGACGGGAAGATCGCCTGGGCTGCTTCTCGAGAGTCCATCATCTCTCCTGGAGCTTTTTGCTGTTCCTCTGCCTGGAGGCGTTTGATATGAGTGAAGGCCTCCTCTACTGCAACCACAAGCCTGCAGAAAGAAAACCAGCACAGCAAGAGTCACAACACAAGAGGTAGAATGGGTCTGTAGTTAAGGCAGAGCCTGGGAGTCAGGATTTGCAAGCTCCAGTTCCTATCTCTACCACTGACTCACTGTCTGCCATACAAGTTACATAAAATCCACTCCGCTGACGATCTGTGAGGTAAGACAGTGAGGCTCTCCCTTTCTTGCCCAAGCCATCCAGAAACTGAGGGTCATAAACCAGGATTAAGGCTTTAAAAGCCTGACTGTCGTACTTGGTTCTGCCAACACAGCATAAACATCAGTTACATGACTTAACAAGACACAGCTGCCCTTGTGTTTTAAGGCATATCTTTGGAAACGGCCATTCCAGCATGCAGTGCAGCAGCTTGATGTCAGGAAGAGGGTGGCTATAAACTAGCATGACCCAGGATGCAGAGTGCTGTAAGACTGTGCTCACCAGCTGCGGCCTGCTCTGATTTACACCAACTGGGAGCAGACCTTGCATTTCAGGATGACTGCCCTGTAACTCTCCACTGAACAATGATGAGGTCCCCATCTACCCTCCTAACACTGCAGCCAAAGACATCCTCTGCAAAGCATTCCTGTGTTGGCACAGGTGAGTAAACACCGAGAACGCACCATAAAAAGGCAAACATGCCAAATGACACTTGCAAGCCCAGCAGAATTTAACTAGTCAGAGACTATGCTGCTAATGGGGAAAAAGCAACAGTAATGGAAGAGCCACCTGACAAAATTATTTTGCCGCTCTACACAGGATGTGTTTCACACTCAAGTCACCAATTACTGTGACCTTTATGCCATTACCCAATGTACAGCAAAGCTAGGAGAAGCTGCCTCAGGACAAGCAGTGGTACAGAACACTGCATTCAGGCTGTATACAAAGAACAGCACAAGAATCCCTGACCCCTGTAAGTTTTGTTTAATTTGACTTGGGGAACAGTGGAAATCAGTTTCTAATCTCTTTGTGTCCTTTTGTTGCAGCTCTGACCTTCCTTCTTTGTAACATCTGGCATGCTCTTCTAGTGACTGATGGTTTTGCTCTGACTAAGCAGCTGTTCTAACCAGCCTCATCAAGAAAGAGAGACATGCACACATTAGAATGCTATATTGCATAGAAAAGAAAATTTAAGATCCTATTACCCCATGGCTGGAAGACAGCCTGACCAACTGCAGCTACAGAGCATAGGTCAGACCAAATCAGGCTAGAGGGACACTGTGCCAGCACTTTCCCAATGAAATATAAGCTGCCAAAATAAAACACAATACAAGCCAGCTCCATCCAGTTATGGCACATTCCTTCCAAACACAGGGGTGCCTGTCTGTACGCAGCTCCCCTCAAAACGTTAGGTGTGTTAACTACAAATAGTAATTAGGTTCTCAAGCAAACAAAGGCACAAACTCTCTGGGATCACCTCACCAAAATGTTAACTCCACAGACTAAGTGTGACTACAGAAAACACCTATTTATTTCCAAAATAAAACAGAGGCAGTCCTGGTCATGCCTTTCCCCTCCAATTCATTACTAGGAAAGACAGGCAAACTGCCCCTTTTAGTTGCCTGTAAAAACATATTCTTTCCTCTCCCACAAAGAGGTAATACCAACTGTTCCACCAGCTCTGCCCTTGAATTACTTGAGCCAAGATGACAAGCCTGAGCACAGGGGAAATAATGGGATTTCCTACAGCAAGTAACTATGGATTTGTCAAGCACTGGACTGTTCCCTAATCCGTGACATCACATTAGCTTATCTGGCACAATATACACAAGCTCTGCTTATGTATTTTCTTCAGATAACTCTAGTTTTCAAGCTGTCACTGTCCCTTGTGCATCTGGGTTTCATATGTTCGCGTACCGCGACAGATTTACAGCCACCCCCCAGCCCTTAATCAAAAATCCCTCTTCTCTGAACAGGCTCAGCAAGTCTATCATGACTGAGCCTCTAAAAAGCATCAGCTGAGCTGCACTGAGGATCACCCCTGGGGAAAGGACACCTTTACCTTGCACGACGCTTTTTGACTCGGCGCTCGTGGTCGGCCTCTTCGTAGTAGAGCTCATTGTGGCTAGAGTCCCTGCGCCGGGCTGCAGCTGCGATCATGGCACGGGACTGCCCTGAGGCGTTGTTCCCTGGGCCTTCCGCAAGAGGAGACAAGAAGGCGGGCATTACTGTCACAGAAGTGAGCTGGGAAAGAGCAGTACCACAAAGCATCTGCCACAGGTGTGCCACAACTCTGCCCCTACCCCGTCTACACAGCTGGGGCTATAAACGCTTTCCCAGCCTTCATGAGCTCTGTAGAAACCCCGCTGGACAGCACGTGCTTGGAGAGGAGCTTTCTTCCTAGCTCCAAGGATGACAGTGGAAAAAGAAGTTAGTAGGGATCTCACACAAAGACAGGTAAGATACGCATGCCAAAGATGCAACTTACCATCCATTATATGTGCTTTCAGTTTGACAGCAAGAACAGCTGCAACGCCCCACATTTCAGCAACAAGACAGTGTGAGAACAGAAGAAACATGGCGTTGGAAAGAGGAGAAAGACAAACACAAGAACATCAAGAGACGTAGATATGAATGAATGAAAACCAAAATTCAGGCAGTTACACATGGAAAAGAAAAGCAGGATACAGAGACAACATAACCACCTTCAGACAAAGTTTTGCAGAAGGGTAGATGCTTTCTGAGCAACAGGTGTGCTACAGGTTAGGCTGGGGTCTGTGCATGCAGCAACTCCAGAGCAGCATCTGCTATCAGAGCTTCTATTACTTCTATTCCCTGAACAGGTAATCTATGACCTGCTCTTGAACACTCCAGCAAATGAAAGAGGAGTTTACAAGACCTGAAGTAGTGACCATACAGTGCAGGAACGGCCTAGGAAGCTCCCAGCTCTGGCTGTTTGGCAGAGATGTGGTAGAAAGGGAGAAAATGTTACTCTCGATGAGTGTACCAACTCTTCTACCCAATAGAGGATAAAGAACGGAAGCCTAAGACAGTCTCCAAACCACTGAGAGCTGTTTCTCCAACTGCTCTTACCTGGCAGTGACTAAGGCCCATCAATTGCACAGACATGCTTAAATTATTCTGCTTATGCAAAGGCAGCTTTTATTTATTTTTCTTAAAAATCACAAACAACATTTCCAAGACAGAAGCCTGAAGCTCAACAGTAGGAAGACCCATCATTTAAACAGATGGCTCCTAAACTTCAAACTTTGTTTCACAGACTTGAAATGGAAAATACTACTCAAGGAAGACACTGGTTCCCAAATTTGGGTTAGAATTATTACAAGCCTTTTTGACTATGCCTGGTGATGGAAATTCAGGTTTTGAAGGTAAGCCTCCCCACTCTGTATAAGATTACAGCAAGATGTTTTTCCTTCCTGGCTGCTACAACATCAAATACAAAAGCTGCCAACAAATTAAGCTGCTTAATAGCGTTACTGTTTTTTCACACAGAGGGTGTAAAAGGCTGTCAAGACGCCAAGGCGAGCTGCAGCCAGAACTACACTCCTCTTTGTAAAGAGGATGGGAATGATTCTGAAGAATATGCCTCTAAGCCTGAGATTTCCACATCTACAAAGGCAGAAGTGTTTCACAAGGAACAGACCAGGGATCCTGTACTGCCCCAAAATGGAAAGTGCAAGTTTTAAGGCCCTACCAGGCTCATCAGACTGCCGTTAAGAAGGCCTGGCCAGCCATATCTGGAGCTCATTTCTGGTTCCTTATATTTCAACTAGTTTCGGAGTTGCTAACTCACAAAACTTCTAATGCTGTAACTGTACTGACAGTTTTTCCCCCAAGCTTGAGGTACCCCAGTAACTGCTACAGAATCAGGCACCCTGCTATTTCTTAAAGAGATGCTGCACCAGAAGCAAGCTGGTAATGGGAACAGCATATCCTGCAGTACGGTTTGAATGGTGCACAGACACTGGGATCTGGCAGCTCTGAATTTCCAAACACAGGGCCTCACTGAGAATGAGCAACTGGAATGCAAGATCTCACTCCTAGAAAAGTGCAGAACAAGTTGTGTTACTTCTCTCTTACTGAATTAATTCTTTCCCGCCTCCAAGCTTCTTCACTCCAGGAAGCAGAGGACACGGAAGAAGCCTGCCCCTCTGCCCCCCTCCTGCTCCCTTTCACCTATCCTCTGCCAGAAATGAGAGATCTCACTGTAAAGATCTTAAACCTACAGTTGATTATATGGACTCTGCAGTGCTGCATCAGGTTTGGGGAAAAACTAAGAAAAAGGCTTTGAAACTTCTAGAGCTACCAAGAATACAAAAATTAAAAAAAAAAACAACAAAATAAATAAAAGACATCATAGCCTTGTTAAGGCAAAGGAAAAACCCAAGACATGTGGCTGCATTGACTGATGTTCACATTTCAGTATCTACAGCACACACAAAGCCACCTAGACCAGCTAAGTCCTTTCAGTTCCTTCCTGCTCTCAAAGCCTTTCAATACAAACCTATTTATATGCAGGACTTAGCACATCTTGTCATGGGATTTCAGCCGTGCCTCACTGAAGAAGCTGCCCCATGCAACTTCCATCAAAGCTCTTCCATCAGAGAAGTGCACACTTTTATGAAGGCTGAGATGGCTGGGCACAGCCTGCTTATCAAGCCTAGCTTTTACTGACAGAGCTTCAGAGTGCCAAATGATTAAGTCCAGTTTTCACTGCTTTAAGTGCCCTCATGGATCCACTCAGCCATCCTCCCACACATACCCTCAAAGCCCAAGAGCCTGAAACAAGTTTGCAGAACAGTAAGGCTCCATGGGGATAGTTATCTGTCTTGGCATTTTCCTGCAAACTGCTGAGCATCACGATGACTTGGAAGCACAGCCAAGCATAAGACATGTACAGCTAATTTACTGCTAAGGCTGCAAGCCTGATGAACATTTCTTTCCCTGTCAACTGCTGCTTACACAGTTGCTCCTCCCCGCATTGGTATGAACCTCCTCAGCTTTCCTGAAGGCTGCCCACAGCATCTGTGCAGTGAATGACTGGGGAACAGATTTAGGTTAAAAGTTGCGTTTATTGTACTAGCACAACCAAGGAGATGACCTAAGGGTGACAAGAAGCAGAGGCTGCCCAAACCAAGCAGCGGTGCCAAGAAACTCTGTCAAGCCACGTAATCATTAAGCCTGACCCAAAACTTGGCTGTTTTCACCTGGCAAAAACAAAAGCCTTTTTGTGGGCTAAACACATCTGTAAAGTCATCTGGAATCAGCAACCCCAGCACCCTTCGGAAAACTTCCAGCAAGAGACAAGGATTTGGCAAAGCAAAAAGGTGAGAATGCGTGCAAACAAAGCATAAGGCCAACACAGCCCTTCCCTATCCCACCCGTTCTCAGAGACTACATTTCACCTCACCTACCATCAACATTGTAGACTTTCAGGCCAGCCATGTGTTTGGCAGCACGGGATTTGGAGGCTGTTAACAGCGCTGGGTTGTAGACGGGGAAATCTCTGTAGTAATTTTCCAGAACCACCAATGCAGCTCGCTGGATGCTAGAGGAAAAAGAACAGGAGAAGATAAACTTGCAGAATGCAATAAGGACTTTTATTTCTTTTTAAAATACTCAGGCTCTCCACAGGACCTAAAAACTTGTCTGGGATGCTAGTAATGTCTCTCCATGCCTCAACAGGAGGACGATAGGAAAGCCCTGAGCAAGGGCAGAGTGTCAATGATGTGCCAGGCCACCTGCAGCACGGCAAAATGCAGACAGTGCTCAGCTCCCTGGCATGCCCAGGCCAGGGATCAGCGTGTCCTGCTGGCTTTGTGTGGCCAGCCTGCACAGAGGGACCAGCTCAGTGCAGATGCTTTTCCATTTGAGTCATTTCCAGCCGCACCTTGCAGCTTCTCAGATCTCCTCCATCCAAGCTTTGACAAGAGCCCAATCCTACCAGCTCTCGCAGCATGATAAGATCATTGCCTTAGGAGCACAGCTACCTGAGAATGAATTATCCCAGCAGCGCCTGTTAAATCCCAACTAAGGGACAGAATCGAGGCAGCATCACACTTCATTTCATTTGGAACCCACAAAAATTAAAAGGGAACTGCCAACATATTTGTTGGCAGTTATTTGTGAAGTTCACACTTACCAACTAAGCCTGTCATAAGGAAAGCAACCAAGTACTCTCACACATGTTACAACATAGAGGGAAAAAAAAAAAAAAAAAAAAAAAAAAGAAGAATAGTAATGTGGGAAAACAGACACGAACAAATTAAAACCTACATTCAATTCTCATCACTGCCACTGATTCAACGTGTGCTCCCCGAGGAGCAATTTAATTTTCCCGTGCCTTGTGCTAATATTAACTCCTACATCACACCCCAGTAATTCAACTCCCACACACTACCTCTGTCACTCTCACCATCTCGTTGCCCATCTCCCACCCAGCAGCGAATGAAGTAGAGATGCAGCCCATCTACAAGATGCTGGGGAAGACAAACAAATCCAGACTTGCTCAGTGTGTACCTTCCTCCCTTATTGTTATGGTACAGCGTCATCTGTTTTGTTAGCTGTACACTTTTAAGATGATCAGTTGAGGTTTTAAAGCAAATTCCACCTTTAGGACAGATGCATAACACCCCACCACACTAACTACAGTATCCTTGGGAGCTTTATTCTCCAAATACCAGTTCTAAATATCATATCAGATACGTTAAAAGCAATTTCATTTAAGCACTCGGCTAACGATATGTAATGAAGGCCACTGTTTAATCAGGGAAATAATATTCCTTTAACACAGACCTGCAGATGGACAGCCCCCACCCACAGCCAGTTTATTTCTGCCTGCCAAACTCCCGATTCCTACCGTGGATTTACTGCAGCTCCGAAACAAAATTTCACAAAATAAATCATAGCTGCAGCATATATTTTCCCTTCTGCCTGTACTTAAACACGACTGAGTTTTTCCACGTCTGCTTCCCAGGAAGAAAGGTGAAATTTGATGAGCTTTGTCGCAAAATGTAACATTTAGAAACAAGATGATAAAAACAAGAACAGTTATGCCTTGGCAGTGCAGGGCTCTGGTCTCAGACAGCATTGGGACATCAGTGGCAGCAGTGGAAATGTCTGGGAGGTGCTCCACTGGCCAGCTGGCTCTGCTAGGGCTTGGGAGAGCATGATGCACCTTAATGCACACACATTTTCCCTGAGCTCCACAGATGCTGTTATCATGACACCAGTTGTTCCTACCCCTCAGTGACTTACCTAGCCCTCTGATTCACTGACACACATGCACCCATAATCCAAACACGATCAAGCTGTTACATTGCAAAACTCAGCCGTTGCTGCCCCAAATATTAAAGCCCTGTTATTTTCTACTGATGCAGTTTCTTAAATTTCTATTTAGGAAATCTCTGGCTCCCATGCAATTCATCACAGGCCCACCAGGTGAGGGGGGCAGCTGGGCTGGGACTCTTCAAACTCTTTTTTAAAGAAAAGAAGAAGTAAAGAGAAGGTGCTGCAGCTGAGAAAATTAGAAGGGTGACCATAATTAGCCAGGGTGAGGGGAAGGCTGAATCAGAGCCTTCTGGGCAGCGTTGCTTAACCTTTTCACCCACATCAAGGGGAAACCTCACCCTGCTGCAAGTGGGAGCTGCAGAGCAGCAAGCAGCCCTACAAGCAACATGGCCATCCCTGGCATAGCAGAGGGACCCAGCTCACTTGGGCACCCCAGCAGCCCCCAGAAACAAGCTAAGGAAGCCTCGGGCCTCCTGCAAAATGCAGCTCTTTGGGATTTTCCACAGCACGCCAGACCCTCTCCTGCCACAGCAAACAAGGTGCTTCAGTGGCAGCCTCCTTCCCACCCACCCACCAGTTCCTCCAGGAATGGGAACTGACAGCTGGCCCACAGCCCGCACTCGGATGCCTTTCCCTGCAGAAGTGTCTCAGGAGGAGCTCAGCACCATATCCACCCACTGCATCCATTCACTCTGTACTTCAGCAGATGAAGGCCTTCTGCATGCACAATTTCAAAAGAATGGGGAGAGGTGGGAGGAAAAGGAACAGAAAGTTTCAATACCAGACTGTCCATTTAGGGAAGGCCAAAGCAAGGACCTTCCTTATGTCCTGCAAAGAGTATCTGGCAGCCAAATGTAATTCAGGCATAGCAACAAAATACCAGAGCCCAAAAAAGCAGATCAGGATGTGAAAAGCACTTTCAGGCAACAGAAACCTGCGACACAGAAAGGACCTGTTGCACAGGACCACAGCCTTGTAAAGGCAGCATCAATAAAACCCTACTTTCGTTGCTTTGTACTTTGTGCAGTTTGAGGGGGCGTTGAAATAATTTGTTTTTATTATCTTTATTCTTTTCCTCCTGAAGAAGGCCATGTCACAGCATGCTGCCAGCAGGGAAAGCAAACAAGCAGATCCGGCAGCAGTGCTGCGTACCTCAGCAGCATTTGGCAGCAGAGAGAGGCCGAGTCCTTAACAAACAGCAATGAATTAACTTCTGTGAGATCTCCAAGGAAATGGAGGAGGGGACTGTGTGACACAAAAGCACAACAACCACAACAACTGCCAGCGTTTCCCTGTCAAAAGATAAGTCATGAGCAACCTGCTTGAGTGCTTGTTGCTACACGGGATTTTGGTATCTGAGGTCTCAACACTGTGTCGCTCACTCAGAGGCCGTTTTAGCTTTGTATTTGCCTTCCCTGACATAGCTACACCAACACTGAAACTGCTTTTAGAGGATTTCCAGGCAAATGAGCCAGTGCTATACTGAGAGCAGAAGGAAGCCTGCTCACATCATTGGAATACCAGCTTAGAATCTGCTGCTTCCTGGAAAAATGGTGCTGAGTCTGCTGTAGTGGTGGGAAGATGGAAGTAAGGGGAGTGGTGAAAAAAAGAGATTAAAGTCACACCTCTATGCTCGAAGTTGCCATCAGACACAAAAAGACTGCAGTGGTGTCACTGATGGGGTTTTTAGAAGCTTTGCGCTTTGCTTTCTGAGCTAGGAAGGCAGCTTGCCATGGCTCTGTTACCCACTGAAGGCACAGGGGCTCCTCACAGTGTTGCAGCCGATACAGATCTAAACACACACCTAGAGAGAACTAAGATGTTTGCTACCAGAGCATGAACTTCCTTACCCTGCCACAGAGACAAAACCCATAGGATCAGAGCTTAGGGTGAGCTAAGCATCCAAAATCCACAGGGAGAATCAGAGATTGGTGCTGTACTAATTGAGGACTGAGCAAGCCCAGGGTTACTTCACTAAATGGCTCCCAACACAGACTCATCTCCTCCAAACAATGTTTTTTTAAGCGCTGCAAAACAGACACACAGCATCAAAACAAGCTAAGGACTTGCATGCTAAACACGTGCCACAGTTGGGAAGCTCTGGCACCTCAACAAGAAGCTGAGCAAGAACTGCAGAGAGCAACCCACTATGCATAGCCGGCTTTGCCTTACAGGCTGCCTCCAGCCCACAGCTGCATCAGGTCCATCTACAGCAAGTTGCTGAAGTCTCCTTACTCCCTCTGGGATGAGATGCCAAGCAGAGATGCCAAGACAAGGAACTCCTTCAGCAGCTGCACCAAGCAAGCCAAGCAGAAAAATACCTTTTGATCACCATAACTACAGTGGCATTTCAGCCTAGTATAGCTGGGAGAACAAGACCGCAGCCCCTAGGAACAGGAAAACCACATTCTCTTGTCAGGCAACCACAACTGAAGTCTCCACTGGGCTCAGGCAGGAGGCAGGCAGGCACAGCTCTCCCCCCCCCAAGGAGCAGGCATCGAGCTACCAGGACACAGTTTGTTTTAGATGTGAGCAAACAGCCAGTTTGTGTAGAGTGCATGCAAGCATAAACACAGCACAGAGAGCTTGTCCCACAGCCTTCCACCTGGATGAGAGCAGGACAGCAAGTTGTTGTTTTCTTCATGGGGCTTTTTGGGGTTGTTTTTTCTTTCCCCTCTTCATCACCAGCCAAGCCAAACCATCCAGCACAAAGGAAAAAGGAAAGGACCACTGCCAGTCTACTACAAATCCTGCTCTTATGTTGTAACCTTTTTATTCGGAAAAGCAGCTGTGAGCATGGAAATGGGAATTTTTAAAACACAGCCTTTTATAGAAGGGCATGATCAAACTTTTTAGAAAAAGAGTCTGCTCCTTTAAATGATATGACCCAAACGAGCTCCTTATTTAATACCTCCCTAAAGAGCCCTATAAAAGTATTCCCAGGCCAATGCTCAGAAGATGCTGCTACAGAAGTACGGAGTGCTAAGTTTGAGCAAGCAGCTATAAAAACCCAGTAAACCCACAGGCATGCACTCTCCCACTGCAATCTCCTTCTCAGAGGCTTTCTAGCCTGATATTTCAGCACGTTAATTGGTCTTTAGAACACAAGCATTTTTCCCCAGTCACCTTTACTGGCAAGTTTCAAAAGGTCCAGTAAGATGGTTTACTGGGAAAAGCAAGACACTGTGCTGGGGTGAGAGCGCTAGCACTACACCTCTTCCTTTCCTCAGTAACACAGCAAGCACATCACAGGACACA